AGGTGCTCACCACGACACATACCCCCCGCCGCCACACACACACACACACACACACACACACACACGACTGAAGGCCAGGGGAAGAAGCCTCCTAGCTTGTTTTTTCCCAAAACCCAGTTCACAGGGACTGCAGTCTAGCCCGGAGCTCTGATGCCCTCCTGTCCGCGCACCGGAGACGGCAGTTTACATGTTTCTTGGCTCTTCGGAAGCATTCTGTGGATGGACAGTCAGCGCCGGGCCCCAGGCAGGGGTGGACCGGGAGGTCTTACGCCTCCCTTTCCAGCTAGGCCGGGAACAAATGCCCGGGAGATAGATAGCAGCTCCGTGGCGAGGCTTCCTCTCCTTGGACGACACCCCTCTCCCAGAGCCACAGGTCCTCAGGGACCCTCAATATGCCTACTGCGCCCTCCCACTTTGCTTTTTTTTTGCTCCGGGACCTTGGTTGCCCCTGACCCGGGCAGCCAAGGCCGCGCCTTCCCTTCCGGCAGCCGCACGTGCGCGAACAAAGGCTGCAGCTGCTCGCCAACCGTGGCGGCGTTTGACTCACCGGAGCTGGGGCGCACGAGCAGGCGCAGGCCCGGGGCGCGCGGCCCACAGAGAAGAGACCGCAGCGCGGCACGCCCGAAGAGGCGGCCCATGGCGCTAGTTGGGCCGGGCGGGGGGCGGAGGGTCGAAGGCGGAGGACCGAGGGCCGAGGGACTAGGACAGAGGGCGGTGCGCTGTGGGTCCGCCCCTGACCCCGCCCCGCTGGGAGCCCCCGGGAGCACTGAGATACTTGCATGTTTCTGCTAAAATCAGAAAACCGAAATACATTATAATAGTAACGAATCCAGCTTGGATTATATTGTTCTTTACATCAGCGCAATTGCTAAGTGTCTTAAGTATTTTTCATGGAGGAAGGCCCCACGCAAGTCCTAACTCGCCCCATTTTGCTAGGCGTCTGGGTCCTGGCCCTCGGTTAGCTTCGGATCTGCTGGAAATCACACCCTCTATCAGAGGAGGGAGCCACAGGCAACGTTAGAACAAAGCTTCTCAGTCTCCCTGAGTCCTAGATTCATTGTTTATTCTCAACTGGCCTCACGGGAATGCGTCCCGCTAACTCATTCCACTGTGAATGCAAGAGACAAGCCACAGTCATAGCTGCAGGAGCTGTGACTTTATCACAAATGGAAACCACAGTTGCAATAATGAGATACCATGAATGGAGATGAGCACGCCCATGCAAATTAAGGAGACCTACCTCTAGATCTTAAGGAGTTTTTGAAAAAGCTTTTACTGTGTTCTTTTTACTACAGAATCTTACTATGTAGCCCAGACCGGCCTCGAACTTGCAGCAATCCTCCTGCCTCAGCCTCCTGAGTGCTAGGATTACACGCATGTACCACCAAGCCCAGCTGGAATTGTTTTAAAGTTGTTGATTGGAAGTGTATAAAATACCTTTGAGGGCCAGGGATGTAGCTCAGTGGCGCCCCTGCCTGGCAAGCAGGAGGTCCCTGAGTTCGACCCCCAGTGCCAAAAAAAATTTTTGATTTTTATATATTGATTCGTATCTTGCAACCTTCCTGAACTCATTTAATAGTTTTTAGTGACTTCCCTGAGACTTTCTACATACATGATCCATGTCACATGGGAATATAGTTTTACTTCTTCCTTCCCATTCGGGGAGCTTTTTATTTCATTTTTTTTGTCTATTCTGGGTAGAATCTCTGGTGCGATAATGAATAGAAATAGTTTTCTTTTTCCTTTCTTTCTTTCTATTTTTTTGGTACAGGGATTGAATTCAGGTCCTTGAGGTTACGAGGCAGGTGAGGTGCCACTGAGCTAAATCCCTGGCCCAAGTGGCTTTCTTTTTCCATAGTCTTAAAGTGCAAGGCTAGGTTATTGATCTGAGGTCTTTCTTCTTAATGTTGGCCATCAAAGATATACATTTCCAGGTAAGCGCTGCTTTAGCTGTATTCCATAAGTGTCGAATTTTGTGTGTGATACTGGAGATTAAAACTAAACTACATCTCCAGGCACCCCCCTCCTTAAAAATGTTTTTGAGACAGGGTCTCACTAAGTTGCCCATACCCCGTACCTGTCTCAAACCTGTGGTCTTTCTGCCTCAGCCTCCTAAATACCTGAGATTGCAGACCTGTGCCATTGTTCCTAGCCGTTTATTTTATTTTATTTTTTTCTGGTACTCAGGATAAAACTCAGGACCTTGCGCTTTCAAGGCAGGTTTGGTGCCACTGAGCTAAATCCTCAGCCCCCAGCTGTTTATTTTTGTCTTGGAGTCTACATTACAGGATAGGAATATAAGCATGCCAGTTCTGTTTGTATTGGATATTAGTTCATGATCCATTTACTTTCAATGCATCCATGTGTTTATAGTTACAATAAATCTGTATGGGCCAGGGATTTAGCTTAGTGGAGCTGCACCTGCCTTGTAAATGCAAGGTCCTGAGTTCGATCCCCAGTACCAAAAAAAAAAAATCCTTTGTAGATAATTGGGTCTTTCTCTTTTTTTGTGTGTACTGGGGATCGAATTTAGGATCTTTCACTTTAGAGGCAGGCGGCAGAACCATTGAGCTAAATCCCTGGCCATTGCTTTTTTTTTTTTTTAATAGGGTAAATTGCCCAAGCTAGGCTGAAACTTGCAATCCTCCTGCCTCAGCCTTCCAGAGTGCTGGCATTACAGATGTGTCCCACCACACCTGGTTGAGTCTCCCTTAAAAAAAAAAACCCAGGGCCAGGGATTTAGCTCAGTGGTTCCTGGAAAGCCTGACTGCCTCTCAAACACAAGGACCCGAGTTAGAGCCCCAGGTACCAAAAGAGAGAGAGAGAGAGAGAGAGAGAGACTCAGCTGGGTGTGGTGGTGCATGCTTGTTATCCCAGCACTTGGGAAGCTAAGGCAGGAGGATCACTGCCAGTTCAAGGCCCGCTTAGACTGCATACCAAGACTGTCTTAGCTGGGCAAGGTAGAGCATGCCTGCAGACCCAGCACTTGGGAGGCCCAGGCAGGAGGATCACCATAAGTTCTAGGTCAGCCTGGACTATAGTTCAGGCTGTTCAAGGCAATTCTTGGCAGTTCAAGGTCAGCCTGAACTACATAGTGGGACCCTGTCTCAAAAAAATTAAATGAAATTAAATTGAATAAATAAAAAAGCAAACGAGAGAGAGTCTCAAGCTGGGCATAGTGGCACACACCTGTTTCTTTTTTTTTTTTTTAATTCTTTTATTGGTACATTTTAGGTATACGTTTACATTTATCATTGGGTGCTTGTACCTGTAAAATGATGTATCTTGGTTCTTATTTTTTCCCCATTACCTGTGTGCCCTTCACCCCCTCCACCCTTCCCTATTTACATAGATTTCATTTCCATTTTT